AAAATAATTAAAAGCGGTTAGAAAGTTAAAATGGATAATAGGTTTCAAATATGTATTAAATCAGATAATTAGGTTAATTATTAATAATTGAGCGACTGTGCTAAAACCACGGAACCCGGGAATGCCTAACACATTCTCTCTGGTTGACGGAATTCCTTACCCGGATTTCTGTATTTCGCGGACTGTAAAATAGAGTCAATTTTCCTCGATTTGGGATTTAGAATAAACCGGTGACTTGGGACACCATAAATTATCCCAAGTGGCGACTCTGAATTTGAATAATAATCCCGTTTCGATTATGTCACTTAAATTGGAAAAACTCCCTTATATCCCCCTCGGGTAAAAAGGAGGTGTGACACAATTAACCCTACCCAAATAGCGGGCTAAGTTGCCTAAGCCCATTTTGAAGTATTCATGGATTTGAGTCTGATATCTGTTGAAACTTCAAAGTTCAACATTTTCCCTTACTATCTGGAATTTCTTTTAAATTGTACACAAGCAGATGCCGAACCTCATTATTTAGCGGCTCTTCGAAGCCCTTCTTTCCGAACTTGTTAACACCAGAACACCCGCCATGAAGATCTATGCCAGCCGTCGGAATCAAACGAAGGTCGAAGGACCAATCTGTAAAATCATAAGAATGACACTGCCAGCGAAGGGGATGTAGCTCAGATGGTAGAGCGCTCGCTTAGCATGCGAGAGGTACGGGGATCGATACCCCGCATCTCCATTCTGCTTTTTCGGTTTGCAAACGGATTTTCGTGCCCTTCGACCCAGTAATCCATATATGAGGTCATAAACATTAAAATGTAATATGCAGCCCATGCATGATCACACATCTTGATTATTATTACCAGTTTTACATTTTTTGTCGTGGCAATTGGAGTGAAGGGATCGGTCAATCACTAAATGAACGGTCATGATTTTCTTCTTTTATTTAAGACATGGTTTGTGGAAGCAATGTTGTTCTAATATATATGCTTTAATTCTAGTTACGTTAAGTCATAAAATTTCGTAGTTAATTCTAGTTACGTTAAGTCATTAAATTTCGTAAAGATCTTAAGATTACACGAGAATGCTAGCTTTTGGTATATTTAAATTTATAATTAAATTAAATTAAATATTTTCAAATATATTGCATTAAGTAATTTTTACTATATATATTCCAAAAATTAATATGAAATTTACGTATAGAGAGACTAGTATACAAAATAGTATAACAGACTTTTTGCTACCTCTTTCACAGACTAATTAAGAGAATAGCACCCCTAATGCATAAAACTGATATATCAACGTACTCTGCTGATTTATATGGATAAAAGCGATAATCATCATATGGATAATATCTTGTAGCCTCTAACTTTTTTACTGAGACAATATTATATGTGTCGTCATCTTTATATTTGGAGTTTTTACAATAAAACATAGTTCGCATCTAACCAAATTTATATCTCTCTGTCTCAATCTCTCTCTTATTTTGCAACTCTTAGAGCCCGTTTGGACAAAAGAATTTTTTCACCTTTTTTCGAATTTTTTTTCGAAATCAGTGTTTGGCCATAAAATTTTCAATTTTCACTTGAAAATGAATTTTGGCATTTCTCGAAAATTTGAAAAACTCCAAAGAGCTATTTTTCAAAATTTTCACTCAGATCACTCACAAAACTTCAAAATCAACCCAAAATTATATTTATGTCCAAACACAACTCTAATTCTCAAATACTCCCCTCTGTTTCATATTAAATGAGGTACTTTCCTTTTTAGTCTGTTCCAAAATAAATGACACATTTCTAAATTTAAAAATTATTCAACTTTAAGCTCCTCATTTTACCCATTTTATCCTTAATGAGAAGCTTTTATAACCACACAAAAGTCATGGCCCCACAAAGTTTTACCCCTTAAGCTTTTAAGACCACAAATTTCAAAAGTCTTTCTCTTTTTCCTTAAACCCCGTGCCGAGTCAAACTACGTCATTTAATTTGAAACGAGGGGAGTACCACTTTTACTTGAGAAAAAAATTCACTTTTTTTTTTTGAAATTTTACAATTCTTATGTCCAAATGCCCACTTATACAATGGTTTCATCTTAATCTAATCTTTTTGACGTGGAATGTCTGTGTTTGTGTGTGTACATGGTGTGTTGATAGGTTACAAGTACCTTGGGAATAAGTACTTTACTTTATGTTTTGATAATCTAACAAACTTACCATCCAGAACCAGATACGGAACATGTTACACATCTACAAGACCATGAGATCACAAAGTTCGAGGTTGGGATCCAGCGTGGGATATAACTCAACTCTTCAGAGAGGAAGGAACAACTGAGGAAACACGTCCCTACCAGTTCCCGAGGAGACTGTATGAAGTCAACTCTCTAGCAGGAAAGTTACTGCCTGCACACGCTACTGCACAGGAGCAGTGCAGCAGTCAACTTTCTATGGAAAGCTTTTTACCTACCTTGCTTACATCATTGTAAGTGATGTCACACACGTATAAATACCATCAAGGAAGGTAAAACAACTTCACGTATAAATACCATCAAGGAAGGTAAAACAACTTACTTCATGAGAGAACCAGATAAAGGACCTGAAGCATGCCTGGTACAATCATTCAAGTTAATCGACTCAAGATAATCTGCGCAGTGTGCTTTAGATTCACAGGAACTAGATTAGGGACCTGATACCTTGGTGTTCCCCTGACAGAAGTATAAGTCAACTGCACAGCTGGAAAGCAACTGCAAAAAGTGACTGCCTGCAACAGTGCATGCAACAGTCACTTTCCATTGAGATTGGACATCACCATTGTGAATTGACATCACTAAGGTAATGTCTTGTGTAGTATAAACCTCATGCAAGGCACAAGATTCTGGTTCAACACTTGCAAATACAGAAAACGAAAATCCTCTCTCAAGTGCTTACAACAATCTCTCTCAAGAATAAAGCTGCTTCAACCTCAAGGACCGGATCCAAGATTGAAGATGTCTTAAGTCCTTAGGTTTTTTGTAGTNAACTCCTATCTTGCTTTCTTAGAAGCTGTTTTAGGAAACCCAAAATCACAAACCCTCCAAGTTTGTGTCTTGGCTAGAGTTAGTCGAGTTGTAAAGCCTTTGTAATAGAGTTATTACAAAGTGGCTTGTAATAGGGTTATTACAAGTTAGAGTGTCAAAAGCCTTTGTAACTGTAGAGTGACAAAGGGGCTTGTGGTGAGAGCATCACAAGTTAGTAAAATCCTTTGTAACTAGGGAGTCACAAAGTGGCTTGTGGTAAGAGTACCACAAGTTAGTTGAAGTCTTTGTAATAGGGTTATTGCAAAGTGGCTTGTAATAGGTTTTTACAAGTTAGTGAAGTTGAAAGCCTACAAGTGTAGGTCATGGTTTTTGTCCCCTTGAGTTGGGATTTTTTCACAAAAAAATCCTCTGTGTTCTTTACTTACTGCCGAGCTACTGTGGTAACAATTAGAGAACCTGATTCCCTGTACTGATTGGTTGCACAGTCTGTTGCTTACAGTAGGAACTGCTAGAGAATCTAGTTCTCTATACAGTGGGAACTTATCGTGTGTCTCATCTACGTACTGGTTCCGCAGTTAGCACTGTACGAAACTGATATAGGACCAGATCGCTATACAGTTTGGTTCCTCAGTATTTTCAGTGGAAACTCATAGAGGACCCGGTTCTCTATGCAGTTTGGTGGACGCTCAGTTTCTAACATGTGCTAAATCAGGGGTGGATCCAGCAACGAAACTAGGAATTTTCCAAGGGTATTCAAATTTGAAAGAAGTGAAAAAACAGTTCTCGACAAAGGATGTTCAATATGTGTTATATACCTCTAAAACGTAATATTTTACTTATATACACAGTGCAATATTTCGACGAAGGGTGGTCAGTTGACCACCCTTGTGACCATGTGGCTTCGCCACTGGGTGGATCTATAGCCCCAGTACATGGAGCACGTGAACCAATGGTCTCTCCGCCGAACTAGGTATTTTATGAATATATTTTTTAAAATTGATCAAATATTACCTACTGGCACCCATGCTCCAAAAAAACTAAATGGTGAGGCTGAATGCCAAGTTATTTACCTAGAGGAATAGGGATCAATTCTCACTTAATAATTTTATTTTTCACTTCTTTTAGTGGTGGACCCGTGTAATAAAAATTCTAGATCCGCCCCTACATGAAATCCTACCAAAATTTCAACATATGTTAATTCTGAACCCATAATTTTAGAAGTACAATGAGTTGAGTATAAAATTAGTAAAGAACGAACCTACATCTAGTATAAATCATGAATCCACGTTTTATCTCCTTTGCTTATCACATATTGGTGAAATTCCATCCTTAAGTATTTGGAGTTAGAATAAAAAATAAGTTTATACACCACACTCTTGTCCAACTCATCTTAGTATTCATGGATTTGAGTCTGATATCCGTTGAAACTTCAAAGTTTAACATTTTCTCAATGTTCTTTAAATTTTACACATTTATAAAACCATAAGAATGACACTGCCAGCCATGGGGATGTAGCTCAGATGGTAGAGCGCTCGCTTAGCATGCGAGAGGTACGGGGATCGATACCCCGCATCTCCATTCTGCTTTTTCGGTTTGCAAACGGATTTTCGTGCCCTTCGACCCAGTAATCCATATATGAGGTCATAACATTTTAATGTTTTTAAAATGTAATATGCAACCCATGCAAGATCACACACCTTGATTATTATTACCAGTTTTACATTTTTTATCGTGGCAATTGGAGTGAAGGGATCGGTCAATCACTAAATGAATGGTCAGGATTTTCTTCTCTTATTTAAGACATGGTGTCTGGAAGCAATGTTCTTCAAATATATATGCTTTAATTCTAGTTACGTTAAGTCATAAAATTTCGTAGTTAAATTATTCCTTTAGGTAGGATTCAATTAGAATAAGAAAAAGGCAAGGAAAGTGAAAGTGTCCCTCTGTTTTGGTTAGTTGTCTGGCGGCCGAAAGATAAACGTATTAGCAAGGAGAAGTAGAAAAGGAAACATATTTTGGACTAAACAAAAACACACACGAAGATAGTAGTACATTTTGATCTCTTCATAAACTGGGTATAGAAAAGAAACATCAGGCTAGGAGGACTAAAAGTAAGATGCAAATCACTTTAGAGATGAATTTGCTAATTATGCTGCTCCCTTTTTTTTTTTTTTTTTTTTTTTTTTTTTTTTTTTGCATATTGAATTTTGTACAGAACTGTTGAGCATCGTTGCAGGTTTCTCCTCACTGTAGCTTTAGATTCTTCAGAAGCCTGTTCAATAAAAAAAGAAAAAAAAAATTAGGATGAGTAGATCAACATCATTTAATTATTAAAAAGACTAATACTTTATTTAATTGAAGAAAACTTTTAACTAATGGCCTAAGGCAGTAGAATATTATCAACTTGCGTTCAGAATTTCTGCCAAATGGATCAGAAATTAATAACCCTGCTTATTCCTCATGCTTTTGTCATCTTCTTACATTGCATTGCAGAGAAAAAGGGGCAGCATGAATAGAGATATATATATAGCCTACTTGTGCTAATTAAGAAATGTAAGATAATATGCTTTTTATAATAAGCTAAATATAAATGTGACAGGCAGGACTTATTGCATGTGGATGTCCAAATCATCATCCTTCCAAGGAGACAGGATTGAGTTTTGAAGAAAAAAGGGGCACCGACCTAAAAACATGCCGATACAGTGTAAAGATTTTCATATTATATATATATTTTAGTGAAATTAAACTTATGATAGCTTTAGCTGGTTAGTTAATATTTTTATCAGGTTATATACTATCAATTAAGGCTTATATGAATTTTCTAAGCTAGGTAACCTAATTGTCTAAATTTTTTTTTTTATTGGCAGTGTATAACACTCAAACATATCTATTCCGTGTAAACACTCCTAAAATCATCTTCTTGTGAAGAGACTATAGTTGCTTAAAGGGTTATCAAGGAATGTAAGAAGCCAATAAAATATTTGGAGCATCATTTGGTGATAGAAAAAATTGTGAAACTAGGGTGTTTTGTACTTCCTCCGTTCCAGTTTATGTGAATCTATTTTCTTTTTGGTCCGTTCTAAAAAAAATGACCACTTTCTAAATTTGGAAATAATTTTGCTTTAATTTACATTTCTACCCTTAATGAGAAGCTTTTATAACCACACAAATACTGTGGGTCCTTTTTTAACTTGTTAAGGAGCACAAATTCCAAAAGTTTTCATTTATTCTTGGAATCGATGTCCAGTCAAACAGATTCACATAAATTGGAACGGAGGGAGTAGTATAATGTATTGGTCCAAGATTAAGATGTATATATAGGACCATATGCATGTGATCTTAAGCAAGTAGGAATAGATTTCATGTTATCAGTTGGAAGCTCAATAGACGTTAAAAGGCCGGTAAAATTGCATCCTTCACTAAGATATCTGCAAATCAAATAGTATAAGCATATACGTGAAGTTGACAGTTTCCTGTCTTTCCTTAGACTATAGGTGTCTGATTTACAGTACACTTAATTCAATGAGGAAATCATGTTTAGCCTTAGGGGCAGAGATTATACAGTACCTCTGTTCATTAGCATAACCTCTAACATTGGTTAGAGCAGGCTTGTATTTGGGCAAAGGTATTTGGTCATTTTCTATTTGCATAATATCCTTGAGAAGTAGCTCATAGTGTCTCCTCACTTCCTCTGCTGATTTCCCTCCAACATTCCTCGCAATGTTATGCCAGCGATCCGGAGTATCCCTGTCATATAATGCCAACGCCTCCTCAAATCTCTTGTTTTGCTTTGTTGTCCATGAACCCATCACAGATAAGTAATTTAAGTCAAAAAACAAAAAGACTGAGATGATATGGGAAAGAGAGTGCTAAACTAGCTCCTTATAAGCTGGAAGAGAAAGGTTTTCTTTTCTGCAATATTTATTCTTTTTCTTTGAGGGGATGTACACATATTCTTGTGCTTAAGTAGCCAGCAAATGGGAAGAGGAGGAGGGAGAATATGTAGAAAGGACATACTTGTAATCAGATCTTGCAAAGTCCCTTTCTTGTCTTTTATAATATCATCAGCAAGTGGATCACCTAGCTAAGGATTAGATTCCATAATTCCAATTCTACTGGCTAAGATAGTTGGGCAAAAGCGATTAAATATTACTCCACTTGAAAATTTATACAGATATTCTTCTGCTCTTTCATTAAAAAAGGTTGCTCGAGTGTATACGGGTAAAATCGGGGATAAAACATACCCCGATTCCCGGTGAAGAAAACAGAAGAAGCGCATGAACGTACGAGACTGAAATCGAGGTTGGGAACCTTTCATATCGAGAACTACGAAAGAAGAACAATGTGTTCATCATCGGGCGTGATAAAGGGACGCTTCCCGGACCCAGAACGGGTTCTAAAACCTCGAAAAACATGGTAAACGGTTACACACGACGGATAAAGGGCCGTGATATTTGTACCTGACCGGATATCACGGCATAGATCTCGCTCGATGTCGGATACGGATCAGTTATTAACGAGAAAAGAAGATTTTTACCTTTTTTTAGACTTGTACTAGGGATGAAAGTCTCCTACTATATAAATGAGAGGTTTTTTTGTTTGAGCGACACATTGTAACACGCAAATCAAGGCAATACAAATTTATTTTTTGCTTTCTAGCTATTGCAAAAGTTCTTACTTAACTGCTTGTTCTTCATTCGATCTGGATTCGAACCAAGGGTTCGATGGGGGGCAAAACTACTGTTCAACCTAGGATAATATTACAACTGGTTTGATCATTCATTTTGTCTTTAACTCATTTGTCTAATATTCCTGATTATTTGTGTTGAATAAATCTACCTATCCTTAAAACCACGTACAAGTTTAATTGTTATCTGATTTAAGGGTAAACAGTTTGGCTTCCACCATGGGGCTAAGGATAATAGTGGTGATTTGATACAAATCTCCATAATACACTATATTTTACGCTTGTTCTTTAAAGTCTTAATTTCTAGTCAACATAAAAATGTCAAATTCTCAATCTGCCCACTTGAACGTTGATGCTGAGTCTGGCCATCATGGCGAAAACAATAATCTGGTGGAATCAAGTGAGAAGAAAATTGAGGCCAATGACAAGAAGGTGGAAACATACAATTCCAGGGTCGATCAAATCCCCCGAGCACCCCCGATATTGAAAGGGCCAATTCCAAGAAATTTATCCAGAAGCCTCTTCTTCCGAGCGCGGTACCGAAGCCGATCCCAAAAAGGTTTCGTATGCCCGAAATCCCAAAAATATAACGGCACCACGGATCCGAATGAGCATGTGACCTCCTATACATGCGCCATCAAAGGGAACGACTTGGAAGATGAAGAAATCGAGTCGGTGTTACTATAGAAGTTTGGGGAGGCTTTGTCCAAATGAGCGATGATATGGTATCACAACTTACCACCAAATTCCATTGACTCGTTTTCTATGCTTGCACATGCTTTCGTGAAGGCCCATGCCGGGACCTTCAAGGTTGAGATCAGAAAGTCAGACCTTTTCAAGGTTAAACAAAGAGATAACGAGATGCTCAGGGAGTTTATGTCAAGGTTCTAGATGGAATGGATGGACCTGCCTCCGGTTGCAGATGGTTGGGCCGTTCAGGCATTCACTCACGGGCTTAACCCTGAAGCTCCTTGGCTTCACAGCAACTAAAACAAAATTTCATAGAGTACCTGGCGATAACTTGGGCCGACGTCCACAACAGGTACCAGTCTAAGATTAGAGTCGAGGACGACCAACTCAGAGCCCCTTCTGGTCTGTTTATCCCATCAGGGCCGACGACAGGCCTAAGAGAGCCGTTGATCATGATCCAAGACCTGTGGGGGATCGGTACCAACCGTACATCACAGATCGAAGGATAAATAGGTCCGGGCACCAACCCACAAGGAACAAAAAGAGAGGTGATCGAGGGCCCAGTATCCGAGGTCTGACGAGCAAAAAATAGTTTCGACAGACTGTTCGGGGGCAGGGAAGCACCGAGGTTATCAGAGTATAACTTCAACATTGATGTTTCTAGCATCGTGTCGGCCATCAGGCGCATCAAAGAGACCAAGTGGCCTCGACCTTTCAGTCCGACCCTACCCAAAGAGATCCTAACTTAATATGTAACTACCACGGCACCTATGGTCAAAGGACTGAGGATTGCCGACGGCTAAGAGAAGAAGTGGCCCGATTATTCAACAACGGGTACCTCCGAGAGTTTCTGACTGATCGGGCCAAAAACAACTTCAGGAATAGTGATGCCAACGAACATGCCGAACAAGAGGAGCCTCAGCACGTCATCAACATGATCATCAGAGGGGTCGATGTCCCCCAAGGACCAACAATAAAGTGCACCAAAGTGTCTATCACGAGGAAAAAATGCACCCGAGGTTATGTCCCGGAGGGAACCATTTTGATTAGCGATGAGGATTGCGAGGGCATCATGCAACCTCACAATGACGCGCTGGTAATATCCGTACTTATCAATAAATCTCGAGTTAAACGTGTGTTGATTGATCTAGGTAGCTCGGCCAACATCATTAGATCAAGGGTCATAGAGCAGTTGGGATTACAGGACCAAATAGTGCCAACAGTACGAGTGTTGAACGGATTTAACATGGCATGCAAAACCACTAAAGGGGAGATAACCCTACTGGGACAATCCAAGAGACAATGTTCTACATGATCGAAGGGACATAAGGTATAACGCTCTATTTGGAAGGCCGTGGGTTCACAACATAAGGGTGGTACCCTCGACCTTGCACCAGGCGTTGAAATTCCCTACATCGGGAGGAGTCAAGGTAGTCTAGGGAGAGCAGCCGTCTGCAAAGGAGATTATTGCAGTCGACGAGGTAATCCCAGTGCCCGCAGTTTAGATGTAAAGGAACATGGAGCTAACAGAGGAAGAAACAAAATAACAATCACTGATTCCCATCTCGATCAAACCAGAGGAATGAGGAATACATGAGGAAGATGATTATGGGGGCCCGAGATCGTTCATAGCTCCTGATGACACCGACGCCACCAAATCGATGGTCGAGGAGTTGGAGAAAATCAAATTAATCAAACACCTACCGGATCGAATGGTATACCTAGGCACGGGGTTAACCCCCGAGCTCATGAATAAACCCTTTGATTTTCATAAAGCTAACATAGATTTTTACGCTTGGTCCCATCTTGACATGACATGGATCCCACCGGAGGTAACCACTCATAAGCTGAGTTTGGACCCGAAGTTCCATTCGATTAAGCAGAAGAAGAGACCGCAGTCCGAGGTCAAGCATGCGTTCATCAAGGATGAGGTATCCAAACTCCTTAAAATAGGGTCCATCCGGGAAGTTAAATACCTGGACTGGTTAACTAACATAGTGGTAGTATCTGAAAAGGGGAATAAGCTAAGAATGTGTGTAGTACAACAAACTAAACAAGGCATGCCCTAAAAATTCTTTCCTTTTGCCTAACAACGATTGGATGATTGACGCGACAGCCGAGCATGAGATACTCAACTTTCTCGATGCCTATTCCGGGTACAACAAAATTTGGATGGACCCGGATGATCAAGAGAAGACTTTCTTCATCACTAAATTTGGCACCTACTATTATAATGTAATGCCGTTTGGATTAAAGAATGTCGGTGCCACCTATCAATCCCTAGTAAACCGGATGTTTGAAGAACAGATAGAAAATGAATGGAAGTTTATATTGACGACATGTTAGTCAAGTCCCTGGGAGCAGAGGACTATTTGAAATATTTGCAGGAGACCTTCGACATACTGAAGAAATACAATATGAAGCTGAACCTAGAGAAGTGCGCATTCGGGGTCGGATCGAGAAAATTCCATGGGGTCATGGTATCCATTGAGGGATCGAGATCAACCCCGACAAAATCGATGCCATAGAGGACATCACCATGGTGGACAATGTCTAGGCCGTTCAAAGGCTGACCGGGCGTATAGCTGCCCTGGACCGCTTCATATCGAGGTCCTCGGAAAAAAGTGGTCGATTCTTCTCATTGTTAAAGAAGAAGAATAACTTTTCTTGGACCCCAGAATGCCAACAAGCTTTGGAAGAACTCAAACGGTACCTATCGAGTCCGCCCCTGCTACACACCGCGAAGGCAGACGAACAACTGTACCTCTACTTGGCAATTTCCAAGGTGGCGGTAAGTAGAGTCTTAGTCTGGGAGAAAAAGGTATGCAATTTCCTATTTACTATGTCAGAGAACTCTAGATGAGGCTGAATCAAGGTATCCTCACCTGGAAAATTTGGCGCTCGCCTTGCTAAGCGCCCTCAGAAAGCTAAAATCATACTTTCAATGCCACCCCATGTGTGTCGTGACCTCTTAATCACTAAGGAACATCATTCACAAACTCAAGCTCTCGGGCTGGTTGGCTAAGTGGGACGTCAAAATTAGCGGGTACCATATCGAGTATCAACCCCTAACCACCATAAAATCTCAGATTTTGGAAGACATCATGGTCGACTTTGCGCCGGCCTAAATACCCGAAGTCGAAAGGGAATTACTGTTAGCCTTGGGACCATTTCGGGAATCTGGACCCTTTTCACGGACGGTTCCTCGAACCCGAAGGGGTCCAGGCTCGGCATCATATTAAACCCACCTACAGGAAATGTAATTAGGCAATCTATTAGAACTGTAAAATTGACTAACAATGAGGCTGAGTATGAGGCGACGATTGTAGGTCTAAAATTGGCTAAAAGCCTTGGGGCCAAGGTAATCGAAGTTAAATGCGACTCTCTCCTTGTGGTAATCAAGTTAACGGGATGTTCGAAGTAAAAGAAGAATGGACGCAAAGGTACTTGGAAAAATTACAGGCGACCCTGCATCAATTCAGGGAATGGACCCTAGAGCACGTACCCCGAGATCAGAACAACTAGGCTGATGCACTGGCTAACTTGGGGTTGTCGGTTGATGCCGATGAATTCGGTTCGGGAACAGTAGTGCAACTAATGAAGTCGGTGATAGA